GGTGTGGATAAATGAAAAACAGATAGCAGAAGATAGCATCTCTCAAGTGATCATAAGTGAAAAGGACAGGAAGTTGCATCAGGATTTAATTAAAAAAATGCCTGCAACTAGTGATGATGTGAGTGAATTTAAGGCCAGCAAAAGTTGGTTTGAGAGATTTAAGAAGCGTAGTGGCATACATAGTGTGATAAGGCATGGTGAGGCTGCCAGTTCGGACCACAAAGCAGCTGAAAAATATGTGCAGGAATTCAAGGAGTACATAGAAAGTGAAGGACTGAAACCTGAACAAGTGTTTAATTGTGATGAAACAGGCCTGTTTTGGAAGAAAATGCCAAGCAGGTCCTACATTACTCAGGAGGAAAAGGCACTCCCAGGACATAAGCCTATCAAAGACAGGCTTACTCTGTTGATGTGTTCCAATGCTACTGGTGATTGCAAAGTGAAGCCTTTATTAGTGTATCACTCAGAAACTCCCAGAGCATTCAGACAAAAGAATAAAAGAATATCCTCAAGGCTAATTTGTGTGTGCTGTGGAGGGCAAACAGTAAGGCATGGGTCACTAGGGACTTTTTCTATGACTGGTTACACCATGCATTTGCCCCCAATGTGAAAGATTACCTAACTGAAACGAAATTAGACCTTAAGTGCCTCCTGGTGTTAGACAATGCCCCTGGTCATCCTACAGACGTGGCAGAGCGACTTTATGGAGACATGAAGTTCATTAAGGTGAAGTTTTTTGCCTCCTAATACCACTCCTCTCCTGCAGCCCATGGACCAGCAGGTTATTGCAAACTTCAAAAAACTGTACACAAAAGTGCTGTTTGAAAGGTGCTTTGTAGTGACCTCAGAAACTCAACTGACTCTAAGAGAGTTTTGGAGAGATCACTTTAATATCCTCAATTGTGTAAACCTTATAGGTAAGGCTTGGGAGGGAGTTACTAAGAGGACCTTGAACTCTGCTTGGAAGAAACTGTGGCCAGAATGTGTAGACAAAAGGGATTTTGAAGGATTTGAGGCTAACCCTGAGAGGAGTATGCCAGTTGAGGAATCAATTGTGGCATTGGGGAAGTCCTTGGAGTTGGAGGTTAGTGGGGATGATGTGGAAGAGTTGGTGGAGGAGGACAATGAAGAACTAACCACTGATGAGCTGATAGATCAACTTCACAGCAAGAGGCCAGACCTGAGGAAACTGGTTCGGAGGAGGGAGAGAGAAATTGAAGAAGTTGTCTACTACAAAGATTAAGGAAATCTGTGCAATGTGGCTGAAAGTGCAAACCTTTATGGATGAAAATCACCCTCGCACAGCTATTGCAAGCCGTGCTGGTGACTATTACACTGACAATGTTGTGAAACACTTTAGGGAAGTCATAAAGGAACGAGAGGTTACAGGCCACTATGGACAGATATGTTGTGCGACAGAAGTCCAGTGACTTTGAAGCTGGTCCTAGTGGCATTAAAAGAAGAAGGGAAGTAACCCCAGAAAAGGACTTGACACCTCAAGTCTTAATGGAAGGGGATTCCCCTTCTAAACATTAAGACTCTCTCCTCCTCCCATCCCATCAATCATCACCAGATCTTCAATAAAGGTAAGTGTCATGTAATTGTGCATGCCTTTTTCAGTTTGTGTGTATTAAAATTAATATTTCATGTGGTAAAAATATTCTTTTTTCATACTTTGGGGTGTCTTGAACGGATTAATTTGATTTCCATTATTTCTTATGGGGAAAATTCATCCGCATAACGATAATTTCGCATAACAACGAGCTCTCATGCACGGATTAATATCGTTATGCGGGGGTCCACTGTATTTGAAACCCTGACCTAATCCCATTTATTTTTCCCCACTGAAACTCTCCCATCCCCTTCAGCTTTATTTCACTTAAAGCCAGGACATCCAGCTTCTTCTCATACATAACATCCACAATCATCTCTTTCTTATCATTCGCACAACATCCATGCATATTCAAACATCCCACTTTGAGTTTTTTTTTCTTTTTCTCTTTAGTAGGCTATAAGGGAAAAGGGGTTACTAGCCCATTGTTCCTGGCATTTGAGTTGACTTTTACAACACGCATGGCTTACAGAGGAAAGATTCTTATTCCACTTCCCCATGGATATAAAAGGAAAAGCAGTAAGAACAAGAACTATTAAGACAAAATCAAAGAAAACTCAGATGAGTGTGTATACATAAACGTGTACATGTTAATCCTTTGACTGTTTCAGGCCCCTTTCTGAAACTGTCATTCTATGTCGCCAAATATTCAAAAAAAAAAATTATTTTTTCTTATGAAATGATAGAGAATCTTTTCCCGATGGTAATGACACCAAAAGTTCGAAATTTGGTCGAAAACTCACGGAATTACGCTCCCACGAAGTTAGCGGAATCGGCGACATGTGTATCGGCGATTTCGCCGACTTTGAGCCCTGTTTTCAGCCAATTTCGTTGTTCCAGTTGACCAAACTCATAGCTATTTCTTTAGAACTCCATTTTATCTATCAGCTGAGTACAAGAAACTGCCCATTTACCAATTTGAACTACCCAATATAGTGGTCAGAAATTGGCAATTTGGCCAATTTCAGGCAAATTAAAAAAGATGCCAATTTCAAAATAGGGTCCAGAATAAACAAGGTAGACATTCTTGGCACTAAAATAGCATATCCTCTGTTCATTAGTCACATCTCTAGGCCCCTCTTATATTATTATTGCTTTCTATTTTGATTTTTTATTCATACAAAAAATACAAAATTTACTGTTATGCAGACTACTGCATTATTGTAAAAATGGTATAAATAATTATCAGTGCACTAGTGAAAGAATATTAGACTCCCCAGTTGACGTGTATTGGACGTGTGGTGTGATTTGTTTACTCCTGAACATTGGTAAAAATCGAACATTTCCGCTAATTTGAGCTCAGTTTCAAGGTCGTTTTCATCGTCAAAGTAATGAAAATCATCTCTATTTCTGTAATATGTTTTCCATTTTATCACCTAAGACCATGAAAACGCGAATACAACGATAAATACTATACGAAAATACACCTCAAAGTCGGCGTTTTATTCCAAAAAAACGATCAGTTTTTTTTTTTTCTCATTACGCAATGTGTGCTGCAGGTTTTTTTTACGTGGTGCACACTGACCACACAGACCCATTCCCTCACATGTGGGCCTACCAGCTTTCTCCCGCTTGATTTGAAGCCGCTAGAATTATTAAGTATATATACGTCAGAAACATTGGCTCGTAACACGTATTTATACGTCGAAAACAGTCAAAGGGTTAATGTTGCAGTTTAAAAACTGTAGTGTAAAGCACCCTTCTGGCAAGACAGTGATGGAGTGAATGATGGTAAAAGTTTTTCTTTTTCGGGCCACCCTGCCTTGGTGGTAATCGGCCAGTGTGATAATATAATAAAATATAATATATGTATGTGTAGTGTGATCTAAGTGTAATTATAAGTAGCAAGACGAACCTGAAATCTTGCATGTTTATGAGACAAAAAAAAAAGACCAGCAATCCTACCAACACGTAAAACAACTACAGGCTTCCTTTTTACACTCACTTGGCAGGACGGTAGTACCTCCCTGGGTGGTTGCTGTCTACCAACCTACTACCTACAGATATAGTTAGGATAATATAATTTAGGATTATATAATTTAGGATTATATAGGAGTGAGACAACCAAGAGGGCCAAAGGAGCTATTCAGGTCAATGTCAGTACCGTGACTGATTAAAGTGACAAAGCAGACCAAAACCAAAAATTGAAGTTAATGTTGGGAAAAAATGGAAGATTAACAAAGCAATTTCAAGAGGTATGTATAATTTTGACAAAGGGCTGTTAGAGATTAGATGGATTAATTTCTGAAATTTAGTTGAATGCATTTTTTTTTTTTTGTTAAAAATTTCAATTTTTAAAAGTGCAATGTCCATGTCAAATCTTCCAAAACACACAATATGGGGCCCGACCTTAGTTTTCTTTATCTCTTCACCCGACCTGTCTTTGTCTTTTCTCGGAGGATTTTTATAAGGTTCAAAAGGGGGAAAACGCATCTGAATTCCTCCTCCAAATATGAGTTAATTTTTTTTTATTCTATTTTCCACAGTGCCCAAACTCTCATCATGTTGGGGCTCAAAAAAAAAAAAAAAAAAAAAAAAAAAAAAAAAGGAAACCACTCACCAACAATGGCTGTCTTTCCCAAAAAATGCCCACTGAATCCCATCAATATATTTTCCCTTTCTCACAGTCCAACAGTACATGACAAAAAACATTTATTTTCCACTTGCTCTGATCTAAAACCCTCCCCAATCTTGGCGTGATGTGCCCCTAGGACTCAAAGCTTCCTTTACTCCCCCTCGCAATATTTCATGGGCCCCTCCCTCCCGTCCACTTCAGAATTACACACCTACCTGGTTATTGTGTTCGCCCATTCCTCACATGCACAAACCATCTTAATTTAAAAACCCCTTCCCCTCTAAAACCTTAATATTTTTGCCCCTTTTTTTCTATATAGTATTTAAAACAAACCATACATAGATCAAAAACTGACTCTCCCGCCTCTAGCCCCCTCCCACTGCAAAATTTGGGGTTGTAAAGAAGTGAATGCTCAGGTGTTGGCAAAGGTTTGGTTAAGAGATAAAAAATTAACAAAAAGGGGGTTTCACTTTGCTCTTTGCTGGACACTGTTTTTGGAAAGTTCTGAGGGGGAATTTGCAGGGGGATGGGGGATGATTTTGGGTAGGGTTGTAAAAAAAGAAAATTAAAAGTGAATATAGGAAAGAGTAAGGTGTGAGGTAACAAAAAAAATTTGGTAACAAAACGGGTATCAGGTTGGACATAGAGAGAGGAGGAGGTGAATGTTTCAGAATTTAGGAGTGGACGTGTCAGTAACGATCTATGTAAATAAATGTACTAGAATTTTGGGGAGGAAAAAAGGTGAGTGTGCACTGAGGAGTCTGTGGAGACAAAGAACTTTGTCCATGGAAGCAAAGAAGGCAATGTATGAGAGTATAGTTATACCAATGCTTTTATATGGGTGTGAAGCAGGAGGAAGTGGAGATATCGTGTCTGAGGGCAATGCGTGGTGTGAATACGTATAATGCAGAGAATTCGTAGTTTGGAAATTAGGAGGAGGTACGGGATTACCAAAACTATTATCCAGATGGGTGAGGACGGGTTGTTGAGGAGGTTGAGACATGTAGAGAGGAAGGAACAAAATAGAATGCCTTCAAGAGTATAAATCTGTGATAGAAGGAAGGAGGAGTAGAGGTCGGCTTAGGAAAGGTTGGAGGGAGGGGGTAAAGGAGGTTTTGTGTGTGAGGGGCTTGGCCTTCCAGCAAGCATGCGTGGGCATGTTAGATAGGAGTGAATGAATACAATTGGTTTTTAGGACTTGAAGTGCTGCTGAAGTGTGAGCAGGGTAATACTGAAGGGATTCAGGGAAACCGGCAGGCTGGACTTAAGTCCTGGAGATGGGAAGTACAGTGCCTGCACTCTGAAGGAGGGGTGTTAATGTTGTAGTTTTATAACTGTAGTGTAAGTGCACCTCTGGCAAGACAGTGATGGAGTGAATGATGGTGAAAGTTTTCTTTTTCAGGCCACCCTACCTTGGTGGGAAACAGCAAATGTGTTAATAAATACATAAAATCTGTACTGTACAGTAACTCTCCACTTTATGCAAGTTCACTACATGCAGATTCACTTTCATGCTATGTCCCATTTCTACTAATATTACCCATGAATATAAATTAGCCTCATGCAATCAATGTATTTCACAAAATGTAACAGATTCCTATAGCAAAGCATTAGGTGATGATCTGATTGAGATTACCACAGCTGCCATGGACTGGAAGGCAACTATATAGTACACAAAGCATGGGACACTCACTTACAATTAATTTCTTCCAATTCCTTACTATATATGTGTTAAAATGTTAAACACATTTATGAAAACTTTTACATACTGTATCCCAGCCATAACAAACCTGCCATTATCATAGCACAACTTACTTTATTCATATTTACAGTAGGTATAGGTTTCTGTAGCGAGCTTCTTCCCTGCATGACATCTGCACATGAACGTTTTGTTTCACTATTTTCATTGGCTTTGGCATCACACAGTTTTCCTTCAACCATTTTACATGAATCATTTGGCCTTATAATAATACCATTATCTTTTGATTTTGTACCAACTAATGCACTGTTACTTCGAGCAGTTTTAGACTCTTTGGACTTGGTGCTCTCGGAAATTTTGAAGTGAGCACTGAAATCTTTGTCACTGTTCGTTTTTACAGTATCTTCAAATTTTTCCATGCAATTAATAGTTTTACTGGAATTATTTATATTTTCTAGGCAAGTCTTATCTTCAGCTTCTTGTTTGAGATCTACAGCTTCATCAATAACATTATTACATAACACTTGCTTCTCATTTTCAGTTAGGTCACCTTCCATTACCTCTATAGGTTTGCCATTTTCAAAACAATTTTCAGCACTTTTAATGTTATCATTTCCCAGTACTGTTTCTTTCTGGGTATCACTTTCATCATCATTCTCAATTTCACTAGTCTCACTTGTCTCATTCCCCTCACACTCACTAACCTTTTCCAAAATTCTTTCATTTTGTAATTCACAATTCACAACAGAAAACTGAGAGCTCTCCTCTTGTTGCTCATCAATGCTTGCCTCATGTACAATTATCACTGGTTTAGTTGGTGTTGCTACACTCGATAAAATTCTTTTATCACTGCCCAATGGATCTTTTTTTGATGTATGGAGCTTGTCAACTGGTTTTTCTCCTGGCAAATTACCATTTATATGCCCAGGACGTCCTAGTTTTGTATCGAATGTGAGCGCTCTTCTTGCATCACTCATAGTCAAGATCTTACGGTCATGCTGCAAAGCCTGGGAAGGAAAACATATTTATATTATGCATTATTTTCTTGAAAAGCAGTAAACCCTTGACATAACGAACCTCAATGTAATGGACTTTCAAAATTATGAGTAAAATGCACTGGTTAACTTATACTTTTAATTCCTTTATTTTCAATGTTTATTGCAGAATATCTATATGTGTACAATACAATATTACATATACAGTACAGAACTTTAACCCTTTCAGGGGTCCAAACTCCTGATCTGAAACTTGAGCTAAGTATAAAAAAAAAAAAAAAAAAATTAGCGGTCATGGCAATATTTATGCACCAGCGATTTTTGCCTGCTTTGAGTCCTATTTTAGACCAATTCCATTGTTCCAGTCGACCAAACCCATAGCTATTTTGCTAGTATGCCTTGTGTTCCATTGATTAACCCGTTGACTGTTTCAGGCCCCTCTCTGAAACTGTCATTCTATGTCGCTCAATTTTTGAAAAAAAAAAAATTATTTTTTCTTATGAAATGATAGATAATCTTTTCCCGATGGTAATGACACCAAAAGTTTGAAATTTGGTCGAAAACTCGTGGAATTACGCGCCCAAGAAGTTAGCGGTCTCGGCGACATATGCGTATCGGCGATTTCGCCGACTTTGAGCCCTATTTTCAGCCAATTCCATTGTTCCAGTTGACCAAACTCATAGCTATTTCTTTAGAACTCCATTTTATCTATCAGCTGAGTACAAGAAACCTCCCATTTACTAATTTGGACTACCCAATATGGTGGTCAGAAATTGGCAATTTGGCCAATTTCACGCAAACTAAAAAAGATGCCAATTTCAAAATAGGGTCCAGAATAAACAAGGTAGACATTCGTGGCACTAAAATAACATATGCTCTGTTCATTAGTCACATCTCTAGGCCCCTCTTATATTATTATTGCTTTCTATTTTGATTTTTTTATTCATACAAAAAAATACAAAATTTACTGTTATGCAGACTACTGCATTACTGTAAAAATGGTATAAATAATATCAGTGCACTAGTGAAAGAATATTAGACTCCCCAGTTGACGTGTATTGGACGTGTGGTGTGATTTATTTACTCTCGAACACTGGTAAAAATCGAACATTTCCGCTACTTTGAGCTCAGTTTCAAGGTCGTTTTCATCGTCAAAGTAATGAAAATCATCTCTATTTCTGTAATATGTTTTCCATTTTATCACCTAAGACCATGAAAATGCGAATACAACGATAAATACTATACAAAAATACACCTCAAAGTCGGCGTTTTATTCCAAAAAAACGATCAGAGTTTTTTCTTTCTCATTACGCAATGTGTGCTGCAGGATTTTTTTTATGTGGTGCACACTGACCACACAGACCCATTCTCTCACATGTGGGCCTACCAGCTTTCTCCCGCTTGATTTGAAGCCGCTAGAATTATTGAGTATATATACGTCAGAAACATTGGGTCGTAAGACGTATTTATACGTCGAAAACAGTCAAAGGGTTAAGCAAAGAAACTGCCAATTTAAGTATTTCAAATACCCTATAAAGTGATCAAAAATTGGTATTCTGGCCATTTCACACAAAATTAAAAAAAAGTTTAAAAACAGGATCCAGAATAGACAATGTAGACATTTCTGGCACTAAAACAACATTTCCTCTGTTCATTAGTTATGTCCCCAGGCCTCATCTATATTACACTTGCTTTTCATTTTGAATTTTTATTCAGACTACTGCATTATTGTAATACTGAAATAGTTATACAATTATTATTGTAATATTTGTATAAATAATGTCAGCGCATTCATGAACACATATTAGACCGGTCAGATGGACATGTACTGGATGAGTGTCCTCTGGAATATTGGCAAAAATTGAACATTTCTTCTACTTTTAGTTTAATTTCAAGTTACTTACAATCCCAAAACCAATCAAAATCACCTCTATTTCTGTAATATAGCTTCCATTCCATCCAATGAAACCATGAAACAGAATGAAATCATAAAAACCATCCAATAATACACAGCAAACTCACTGTTGTAAGCCATACATACGGTCACAGTTTTATTTTCCCACCATGCAAAATGTGGGGCAGGATTTTTTTTATATGGTGTACTCACCGAATAGATCCATTCTCTCATATCTATGCCAAAATTTACTGATCACAGCTTACATGAGGGAGCTGAGGTCATCACATAGTTCTACGGCACCGGCCCTCAGCTCAAAGCTGTAGTACTACGGCACAGACCTCGAAAGGGTTAATGCTTACTTTAACATTATTTTGATTAAACAGACACACTGGCAATCCCACTACTAGTCCATTATATTGATAGTTTACTCTATGATTATGAGATAATGGTGTCGCTTTATTCACTGAACATTAATGTACACAGGATGGGAAAAATAAAAATAAATATAAAACTAAATATAAATGTAAACAAGCACAAACACACAAAAAAAAACATGCACAGTCAGTACTATTTTTGCATATCAAGTCAAAATGAGCAAAGGTCACCAATAAAAATCATTTTGAAAATACAGTGTAATAAACTGTATTTCTGCTACAAACAGAACTAAAATATCTTATAAATTATGACTCAAACTTGTAGATATTTAATAATTATTTTTTAAAGTCTTCTACATGACAATGAATTTTGCACATTAAATGGTACATATACTAACTACTTATGAATAAATTTATTTTTGCTAAAGACTATCTTACAGGTATAATTATTTTTAAACCAATTAATAAAAAGATTTACACCAAAAATAAACAAGAAGTTAGTAGTAGTGCAAACAATCATATCTATAAAGTGATATCTTCATTTTCCTGGTGCTATTAGCCACATGATGAATACTGTACAATACTGAGTCTATTGGGAATTGCTCTGTATGAGTCATATTTTAGATACACAGTATTTCATTACTGAACTTACCTTTCCAGGAGATGATGTACGAATTTCCCAAGTTAAGGAATTAGGTCGTTGAGGTGGTGGTGTGTGCTCATATTCCCACTTTAACTTCAACCACTCTATAAGCTTCTGGAAATCACTGCTGTAACGCTCTAACATTAAAATGGCCTCCTGTTAAACAGAGACCAATGTAAATAAATGAGTCAAATATTCTTTACGTATCAATATCTAACTAAACTCCAAACTCAATTAATTTTATGCAAAAAACTTTCTAGCACCAGACGAGTCTGGCACAAGACCAGGATCTGGGAGAAGAAAAACTCTTGGAACTAATCAAAGGGATACAAAACAAGTCAGGAGTGTGCCAAAGATGTCTACTATAATGATTATTCAGCATATTTATAATATGAACCTTGGTTGTTTCAATAGCGATGAAATATTGTACAGATGCTCCTCGATTTACGATGGAGTTACAGTCCAATGAACCTATCATAAGTCAAAAATATCCTAAATCAAATATGAATATGATATGCTAAATAAGTAATAAATAACTACTGCCATTGAATAAGTAAATAAACAAGTAATTACTGTAACTAACTAAATATATACAAGTTATGGACTTACCACCTTCATGCTGGATAATTATCTAAGTTTCATCTCCAAAGTAATTGCTTTTGCACCATCGTAAAGTCAAAATATCATAAATCAAACTATCTTAAGTCAAAGAGTACTTGTATTGTGTTTTACATACAGTGTCACCTGAAGCATCACTAGCAAGGCAATGACTGAATGAGTGACAATGAAAGTATTTTCTTTGTTGGGACACCCTACCTCAGCGGGAGAAGTCCGGAGTGTAAAAAAAAAAAAATGCTTGACCACCAATACCTCTCTCTCTCTCTCTCTCTCTCTCTCTCTCTTTTCTTTTACACAGTGTTTGACAAGGTTTGGTTAAGGATCCCTAGCTTTATTGACAAGCTATTTACAGGTTAAGGATTCCTAACTTTATTGACAAGCTAAGAGCTGTTACCTACATCAGCTCATTTGAAAGCATTTTTATTGTCATGAGACATACAAGCAGGGAACTGGATGAAGTTGGAGCCATCTGTGGGCAAGCATTTTCATCTGATCAACTGACTTTATCACGCTGACATAATGCTGAATGAATGTGTTCCAGACTCGAGCATCCTGGGGATAAATGATCTCAGATGAAGTGGTGCTCTGGAGAAGGGTACAGCCAGAGTGAAGTTGCTGCTTTCTGCCCATCTTGTGGTACAGAAGCTTGCTTCACGCTGTCCACGAAGTAGATCCAAGTGTGGTACTTTGACAATATTGGCCTTGTACATAACAGTAAGGCCACCCACATCCCTCCTGTGTTGAAGGCTCTGCTGAAATGAGAGATCTATCCAGGATTGGTCCAGGTGAGAGATGAGATGTCTTGCTCTGTTCTCTACTCTGTCAAGCAGTTACAGATGAGAGGGGGGGGACAGGCAAACCAAGAAAGTGGAGCATACTCAAGGTGTGAGCATACTTGTGCCTCGTACAGAATTTTGCAACCCCTACTGTCAAGCAGATGTGAGATACGGCGAAGTGCTGTAAGCTTCCTGGCTGCCTTGTTTGCAAGATTTACAACGTAGTTCTTCATGGTCAGTTTGGAGTCAAATTTCACCCCAAGGATATTAACTTCTCTCTGTACCTCCCTCTCTCTGTGCCTCTGTCTGTCTCTGTCTCTGTCTCTGTCTCTCTGTCTCTCTCTGTCTGTCTCTGTCTCTCTCTCTCTCTGTCTCTCTCTCTCTGTCTGTCTGTCTCTCTCTCTCTCTCTCTCTCTCTCTCTCTTCTTCTCATTGAGGCTGCCTTATCAGTAAGCTAAAATAGATAGTGTAAAGTATCCCAACTTGGTCAGGCAGGGTATCCATTTTCTTTTCACTTGATAAAAGACATTAACTGAAAATCAACCAAAGGATTTTATTAAAAATATAATTGCTGGAGTTCCCAATAACAAATTACATAGTTTCTTCAGTCATTCTTATGAATGTCAACATAAGCCAGTATCGAGTGATAGAGAGATACAGTATCGTTAAAACAAATCAAGTCAACCTGTTAATGCATTCCACTTTACTATTCTTTCCTCTCTCCCTCCCTCAACCCCTAGTCCCAACTATGGTATGTGTCAGTGCAATTTGACTGCTTGCATACCCATCTTCCTTTACCTTGGTGCAAGACACTTAAATTGGAAACCAACCATAGAATTTAATTTAAAATATGCTAAACAGATTTCCCATGCCCAATCCTGTTTCCTTTCTGGTCATTCTTATGTCAATATAAAATAATTTTGTCATACTTAAAAAAATATTAAACAACAGAGAGTGTAAGTACTGTACAGTACTCCTGGGTACTGACAGAGCAAGTCTATTTGTAAATCAATATTATTTTTTATTGTCAATTTGAAAGCAATAACTGAAGATTCTATAAGAGGCCTCTGAAATAACGAGTGCACCTTGTGGCATTAAAACATAAAATATACATAAAATATAGTGAGCGTATATGCACCTGGGGAGGAGAGAAGTATAGAGGAGAGAGATTTTGGGAAATGTTGAGTGAATGCATGGGGAGTTTTGAACCAAGTGTGAGAGCACTTGTGGTGGGGATTTTAATGCTAAAGTGGGTAAAAATGTTGTGGAGGGAGTAGTAGGTAAATTTGGGGTGCCAGGGATAAATGAAAATGGGGAGCCTTGAATTGAGCTATGTGTAGAAAGAGGTTTGGTAATAAGTAATACATATTTTATGAAAAAGAGGATAAATAAATATACAAGGTATGATGCAGCACGTAATGAAAGTAGTTTGTTAGATTATGTATTGGTGGATAAAAGGTTAATGGGTAGGCTCCAGGATGTACACGTTTATAGAGGGGCAACTGATATATCGGATCATTATCTAGTTGTAGCTACAGTTAGAGTAAGAGGTAGATGGGATAAGAGGAAAATGGCAACAACAGGTAAGAGGGAGGTGAAAGTGTATAAACTAAAGGAGGAGGAAGCTAAGGTGAAATATAAGCAACTATTGGCAGAAAGGTGGGCTGGTGCAGGTATGAGTAGTGAGGGGTTTGAAGAGGGTTGGAATAGTTTTAAAAATGCAGTATTAGAATGTGGGGCAGAAGTTTGTGGTTATAGGAGGGTGGGTGCAGGAGAAAAGAGGAGTGATTGGTGGAATGATGAAGTAAAGGGTGTGATAAAAGAGAAAAAGGTAGCTTATGAGAGGTATTTACAAAGCAGAAGTGTTATAGAAGAGTAGAGTATATGGAGAGTAAAAGAAAGGTGAAGAGAGTGGTGAGAGAGTGCAAAAGGAGAGTGGATGATAGAGTGGGAGAGGTATTGTCAAGAAATTTTAATGAAAATAAGAAAAAATTTTGGAGTGAGTTAAACAAGTTAAGAAAGCCTAGGGAACAAATGGATTTGTCAGTTAAAAACAGAGTAGGGGAGTTAGTAGATGGGGAGATGGCAAGAATATTTTGAGGAACTTTTAAATGTCGACGAAGAAAGGGAGGCGGTAATTTCATGCACTGGCCAAGGAGGTATACCATCTTTTAGGAGTGAAAAAGAGCAGGATGTGAGTATGGGGGAGGTGCGTGAGGCATTACGTAGAATGAAAGGGGGTAAAGCAGCTGGAACTGACAGGATCATGACAGAAATGTTAAAAGTAGGGGGGGCCAGTGTTGGAGTGGTTGGTATTTTTGTTTAATAAATGTATGAAAGGGGAGGGTACCAAGAGATTGGCAGAGAGCCTGTATAGTCCCTTTATATAAAGGGAAGGGGGACAAAAGAGATTGTAAAAATTATAGAGGAATAAGTTTACTGAGTATACCAGAAAAAGTGTACAGTAGGGTTATTACTGAAAGAATTAGAGGTCAGACAGAATGTAGAATTGCAGATGAGCAAGGAGGTTTTAGAGTGGGTAGGGGATGTGTATATCAAGTGTTTACATTGAAGCATATATGTGAACAGTATTTAGATAAAGGTAGGGAAGTTTTTATTGCATTTATGGATTTAGAAAAGGCATATGATAGAGTGGACAGGAGAGCAATGTGGCAGATGTTGCAAGTATATGGAATAGGTGGTAAGTTACTAAATGCTGTAAAGAGTTTTTATGAGGATAGTGAGGCTCAGGTTAGGGTGTGTAGAAGAGAGGGAGACGACTACCCGGTAAAAGTAGGTCTTAGACAGGGATGTGTAATGTCACCATGGTTGTTTAACCCCTTCAGGGTCCAAGGCCAAAATCTGAAGTGGTGCTCCAGTGTCCAAGAAATTTTGAAAAAAAAAAAAAATTATTTTTTTGTGAAGGTAATAAGACAAAAAAAAAAAATTCTGATCAGTACTTACCGAGATACAGTGCCAAGAATTTTGTCCAAAATGATGTGGTGGCGGCAACATCGATGAATTCCACATACGCGCATTACTTTATTTAGCGGTTTTTATAGTTTTTTCTTTTCTTTTCCAATTTTTTTCTTTTCCTACTAACATTTGGGGCCTGAGAGACCAATACTGTATATAATGTATATATATAAACTCACTGTATTGAACACAATAACCTCACTAAAGTTATCATATTATTGTTTACCACTGTTGTTTATTACAATAAACATGCACAAATCTTGTATAATACTAATGGTTCATCATTATTTACATATTTACAATCACTGGACATGGTTTTAGAATTGCTGCAGCTTGTGGAACTCCTTGAAACAAGGCACCATGCACAGAGGTACCTTACATTCCTCACACATAAACCGAGTGTCTTTGCGTCTTTGTTGCCGTCGTTTTGTTTGTGCACAGACGATGCATCTCTTCTGAGCAAATTTCTTCTGAGTTGAAGGAAGCTGTATTATGAAATGATCACCTTCCCTCCTCAAACGCTTGGGTATATCCTGAGGAATTCGAGGACCTTGTTGTATAGCAGGTGTTCTTACCTGGTACTTCATATGAGTTGTCTGACAACAGACAAACAAAATTCACCATAACGGTGGTCTGTTGCCAGTCTTTATTTGGTACATATTATATGCATTGAGCATTGAAATGTCCATGAGATGGAAGAAAAGTGTTCATGTACCACTTGTAACTCTTACAAACACAATCAACAAAACCAATCTGCATGTTCAATTTGTCAACCAAGCGCATGTTTTGTGTTAATCAATCACTGTCATTGGTTTTCGAATACGTTCATTAGTCACTCGATCAACTTTGCCACTGTCTTGCATTTCATTACGGTGAATGGTTGTCAACAATGTGACATCTCGTTTGTCGTGCCACCGTAATGCCATGATGTCATTGGCAGTAAACACCTGCACGTCATCACCACGAGCACCTGCGTTGAGCCTGGGAATATGTTTACGATTAGAATGCACTGTGCCACACACATCTGTCTTGTTCACTCGCATGAAATCACCGAGTAATGGGCTTGTGTACCAGTTATCGGTATATAATGTATGCCCCTTACCAAGATAAGGTGCCATCATGTTTCTCACTACATCACCTGAGATACCCAATAACATCTTGGTATCTTTCAATGTTTTACTTCCGGTGTATACAACAATATCCAACACCAGGCCACTGTCACAGTCACAGAGTACAAAGTTTTATACCAAAGCGTTTCCTCTTGCTCGGTATATACTGCTTGAATGACAGTCTACCTTTGAATAAAATCAAAGACTCGTCAATTACAAGATTCTTGAATGGATAAAAGTATATGCTGAACTTTTGTTTGAGATACATGAAAACATTTTTAATCTTGTATAACCTGTCACTTCTGTCAGGCCTGGTTTTGTCAGAGAAGTGCAACATACGTAACAGTAAGATAAACCTGTTCACTGGGATGATTTCACTGAAGACCGGGGTAGAAATTAGCCGATCTGTGGACCAGTATGCTTTTATATTATGCTTGTAGACATGAGGCATAAGCGTTATTGTTGCAAAAAGCAAATACATTTCTGCAACAGTCGTCTCTTTCCACCTGTGTAGTCTTGACTGTGGTGATATGATCATATTTGCCATGGAGTACTCAAAATACTTATTACTTTCCCTGACAATAGTTTCCATCAATGGCTGGTCAAAGAATAATTCAAAGAATTCCAGTTCATTGGCCGTGGTTCCAAGGGGACAAGTAGGTAGAATTCCACTTTGAGAGTCATCAAAGTGGTGGGGCTTGGAACAAAATTGGGATTTTGCTGCCAATCCCAGATACGGTTTGCTGGTGGATACTGGACATCATAGGCTGGTTGTGCGGGTGGTTGTGGTTGTGGTGGGCTGGTGGCTGACGCTCCGCTTTGTCCTTGAACTGACGAGTCAGCAGCGTGGTCCCAGCCTGGGCTGGTGAGTCACGCATGGCGGTGCCACTACCATCACCACTACCACCATCTACTGATGCCTGTGGTCTATCCATGCCAAGTGTAGCCACATCATCCTCACTATCACTATCTAAACCTGGTGTAGGGCCACGGGATGTACTCCGTCCCCTGGGCACAGCATAGGGTACACTACCCGAGTGCATGCGGCAGCGAACATACCGACGCTTCACTGGTGAATATGATTCCTCACTATCACTACTCGAATGATCGTCAAGCGCAATAAAATCACAATCCACGTCACTATCATCATCATTACTGAAGTCAGAGGCCTGGCCACGCGAAAATATTAGTTTTCTCTTGCGTTGAGGCACAACCGACCTTAAGTCACGAGTGCCCACACCAGAGGTAGAAGGTTGAGGATCGTCAGGGTTTTCTGCACTATTATCGATATCCTGGTCTTTCCTTTCGGTCACTAACTGATCAAAGCCATAGAATTCGTCTTCATTTCCACTTCCATCAGTGTCAGAACTATCAGATAGGAAGAGGAGAGTCCCAATTTTCCGGGAAGTGAGAGCTGACTTGCGATGAGGCATGGTGAACAAGGGTAACTGAGCCGGCGTTCCCACAATGCTATGCGGGCGCCTAGATTTTTTGTTTATGGCGCACACCCACCATGCAGACCCGTTCTCTCACATGTAGGCCTATGAGCGCTTTCGCGCTAAATTTGACGGCGCTAGAATTTTGGAGTAGATCTACGGTTTGGACACTCAACGTGAAGCCGTAGATCTACGGGACAGACCCTGAAAGAGTTAATATATTTATAGATGGGGTTGTAAAAGAAGTAAATGCTAGGGTGTTTGGGAGAGTGGTGGGATTAAATTATGGGGAATTAAATACAAAATGGAAATTGACAAAGTTACTTTTTGCTGATGATACTCTGCTTATAGAAGATTCTAAAGAAAAACTGCGAAGGTTAGTGGATGAATTTGGGAGTGTGTGTAAAGGTAGAAAGTTGAAAGTGAACATAGAAAAGAGTAAGGTGATGAGGGTATCAAATGATTTAGATAAAGAAAAATTGGATATCAAATTGGGGAGGAGGAGTATGGAAGAAGTGAATGTTTTCAGATATTTGGGAGTTGACGTGTCAGCGTATGGATATATGAAGGATGAGGTTAATCATAGAAGTGATGAAGGAAAAAAGGTGAGTGGTGCACTGAGGTATATTCGGAGGCAAAAAATGTTATCTATGGAGGCAAAGAAGGGAATATATGAAAGTATAGTAGAACCAACACTCTCATATGGGTGTGAAGCTTGGGTTGTATATGCTGCAGCGAGGAGGCAGTTGGAGGCAGTGGAGATGTCCTGTCTAAGGGCAATGTGTGGTGTAAATTTTATGCAGAAAATTCGGAGTGTGGAAATTAGGAGGTGTGGAATTAATAAAAGTATTAGTCAGAGGGCTGAAGAGGGTTTGTTGAGGTGGTTTGTTCATTTAGAGAGAATGGATCAAAGTAGAATGACATGGAAAGTGTATAAATCTGTAGGGGAAGGAAGGCCGGGTAGGGGTCGTCGTCGAAAAGGTTCGAGGAGGTGTTTCGGGCGAGGGGTTTGGACTTTCAGCAAGCGTGCGTGAACGTGTTAGATAGGAGTGAATGGAAACAAATGGTATTTGGGACCTGACGAGCTGTTGGAGTGTGAGCAGGGTAATATTTAGTGAAGGGATTCAGGGAAACCGGTTATTTTATATAACTAGACTTGAGTCCTGGAAATGGGAAGTACAATGCCTGCACTCTAAAGGAGGGGTTTGGGATATTGGTAGTTTGGAGGGATATACTATTCTGTATTTTTATATGTATATACTACTTCTAAACTGTTGTATTCTGGGTACCTCTGCAAAAAAAATGATTATGTGTGAGTGAGGTGAAAGTGTTGAATGATGATGAAAGTATTTTCTTTTTGGGGATTTTCTTTCCTTTTGTGTCACCCTGCCTCGGTGGGAGACAGCCAACTTGTTGAAAAAAAAAAAAAAATACATGAGTGAGAGGGGTTGAATTTGAGTGGGGACATGCATGTGAGTAAATAGAATTATCAAAGTTTATTGCTTGGGTAACATTTATTCTGTTAGTGGGTTGGATTTGTGAAGGATCTGCCAAGTATGAGCCAACAGGCCTACTGCAGTGTTCCTATGTTGATAAGTAGAACAGTCTTCCTAGTATGGTTACTGAGGGTTGGATGTGAGTGGGACTTGCACATGAGTAAATAGAATTATCAAAACATTTTGCTTAGGTAGTATTGAAAATTGAGCTGGGCAAATATTCTATCAGTGGGATGGATTGTGAAGGACCTGCCTAGTATGAGCCAACAGGCCTGCTGTAGTGTTCCTCCTTTCTCATGTTCTTATGAAACAATGGGCAGCGCTGGAGTTATGTAGAGATGACTGACACTCCACGAAAAAACTTCGGTTTTCAGAATTTTTCGAATTTCAGAATTTCAGATAAAGTAATGGGGATTGTAGTTCTTGTTCTTGTTTATTTCCTCTTATCTCCATGGGGAAGTGGAACAGAATTCTTCCTCCGTAAGTATGCGTGTTGTAAGAAGCGACTAAAATGCCGGGAGCAAGGGGCTAGTAACCCCTTCTCACGTATAAATTACTAAATTTATAATGAGAAACTTTTGTTTTTCTTTCTTGGGCCACCCTGCTTCGGTGGGATACAGCCAGTTTGTTGAAAGAAGATAATCAAAATGAGGTAAAACATCTATCACAACATACCTTGCATTCCACAATGCTTTCATCATCTTCACATGTCTGATAGATTTCATCCACTGCTTGTTGCAAGTTTCGGAAAAGAAAACCCCAGTGTCGGGCACGCAAACCTTTAAGGAAAACAATGGTGGTCATATTAATGGGTAAGATAACTCTGGTTATGAATGAAAATTAAGAAGAATTACTCTCAAAACATCAAATATGCACCTATGCAGAGCTGGCTGTAGATTATGGCAACACTCAACTATGGGTTAAATAACTAGAAAACAGTCTAAACGTTATTCGTCAGCACTTACCAGCCTGATAAGAAGATCTAAAAGATTGTATTATAAAAATAGACTACATAACATCAAAGGTGATATGAAAAAAATCTGGAAAACTCTATCTGAAATTCTTGAAAATAAAAAGTTATCCAAAAACAAAACAATCAAAGTAACAAAATCAGATGAACCGCTACTTACACCTACTGAAACAGCAAACAGACTCAATGTTTTCTTCTCCACCATAGGTAAAAATCTAGCGAATATAATACCAAGCATAAACACCCGTCCATCAGACTACCTCATAGGTACCTACCCAAATACGCTATTCCTAGCTCCAACCAACCCCATAGAAGTTACACTCATCATAAACACCCTTAAAAACAAGGCAGGAGACATAAACAACTTGCCTGCTTTTATGTACAAAAAAGCTTCTCAAGTATTGTCACCAATTATTGCAATGCTCTTTAACAAATCCATTGAATCAGCTACCTTCCCAACAATCCTCAAAATAGCGAGGGTCACTCCAATCCACAAAGGAGGTGACCAAGCTGACTTGAATAACTACAGACCAATATCTAACTTACCACTTACCACTGCTCTCTAAAATCTTTGAAAAATTAATGCACAGATGTATCTATTCCTACCTCGTCCCACACTACATATTAAACCCTTGTCAGTTTGGATTCAGGAATAATAAAAGCACGAATGATGCTATCATACACAAGCTATCATATACCACACTTGAAAAGAAAGAAGTCCCGCTGGGCATTTTCATTGATTTACGTAAAGCTTTCGATACAGTCGGCCATGAACTGCTGTACTCCAAATTAACGCACTATGGCATCAGAGGCCACTCCCTCAACTACCTAAAATCATACCTTAGTAACAGAACTCAATACGTGTATACAAATGATGCAAACTCTTCCACCCAACTAATCACAGTAGGAGTCCCACAAGGAAGCATCCTTGGACCACTCCTCTTTCTCATCTACATCAATGATCTACCGAATGCATCACAGCTACTCAAATCCATATTATTTGTAGATGACACTACATATGTCTTTTCCCACCCAAACACAGTCATACTAGCAAACACAGTTAATGCCGAATTACAGAAAATATCTGCCTGGATGATGACTAATAAACTTACCCTGAATACTGATAAAACCTATTTCATTCAATTTGGAAACAAAGCTGCAAATGATCCGATTAACATAACGCTAAATGGATCATCAGTCACAAGACTCACAGAGGGAAAATTCCTAGGTATCCACCTTGACATTAGCCTTAAGTTCTGGACACACATACAACAAATCACCAAGAAAATCTCCAAGACTGTAGGCATACTATCAAAGATAAGGTACACCTACCATCCGACTTACGACCTGCTCGACATACGACCATTCGACTTACGACCTTGTTTTCTATGCCAAATTTCTGGGAAATAAACAACTGTTTGTGTTGTACACAGAGTTTATCCTAAACCTTACAGTATAAAATACAGTACTAACAGCATAAAAAGTGAAGTAAAAAAATAAATACCAAAATAAAACAATAAAATAAAGTCATTACAAAAATGTGATGTTGATATTCAGTAGTAAGGTTCGACTTACGACCGGTTTCTCAGAACCGAACTTGGTCATAAGTCGGATGGTACCTGTACTACATTCCACAATCAGCTCTCCTGGCACTGTACCATACACTCATATACCCTTATCTTACATATGGAATTTGTGCATGGGGATCAACAACATCCAATCACCTAAAACCCCTCATTACCCAGCAAAAGGCAGCAGTAAGAATGATAACGAATTCCCACTCCCACCAGCATACTCCACCAATTTTCAAAAGTCTGAATCTGCTCACCATTAAGAACACCCATACTTATTCATGTGCCTACTACATACACAGAACAATACACGCAAATATAAACCCTCCACTCAAACTCTCCTCACCAACTTAAAAACAGGACACATGACCACAACACAAGACACAGATCTCTTTTTGGTATACCTCGTGTCCATATCACACTGTGTAAAAACTCTATGCACATAAAGGGCCCTAAAATATGGAACTCATTACCAGAAGATATTAAAGTAACCCAGTCTGAAAATCAGTTTAAGACTCTTCTCAAAAGCCACTTAATCACCCTAGACTAAATGCTAAATACTCAGTGCACACATACTCACCTATGTACTCCTACATCATAACCTCAACAATCACTTTGAACCTTTTATCCATTGTTGACAGGAATATAATTGGACCATTGTTTTCCACAAAAAGCATTTTAGACTATATGAATATATCCTTTGTCTTATACAAATTTAATTCACTTATAATTAATAATCTACTGTTCAACTATGAAATAATTACTATCCTACTGTACAACTATGATAAAATCCTTAGTGTTAAGTACTCTGTAAGCCAATAATGTTAATTTTTACTTTTTTAACAACACACTGGCTGATTCCCACCAAGGCAGGGTGGCCTGAAAAAGAAAAACTTTCACTATCATTCACTCCATCACTGTCTTGCCAGAAGGGTGTTTTACACTACAGTTTTTAAACTGCAACATTAACACCCAATGTTAAGTTGGCCCATAATGCCTAGGCATAATAGAGGCTCTCTTTGCATTGCAACCCACTATAGTAAATATAAAATCTCAATGTACTGTTTGCAAAGACACAAAATAAATAAATAAAATAAATAAATGGCAACGGCCAACTTGTTGAAAAAAAATATATATATAAAATATTTTGCATGAGCCGGATTACAATACAATTTGAAATATTCTGTTTCAAGGTAGACTGCCAGTTCAAGGGTGATCCAGTATATATACTAAGCAACACAGACCCCAACTTATGCCTAGAACAGATTAACTTGGTGGCACTCGATGTATGCACAAGACTTATTCCTCTAAAAAAAAGGAGGAGTAGATGTAAAATAGAAAGAGACAGGTGGTCCTTTTACAGGCAACGGAAAAGAATAACAGAGCGGCTAAAAGAGGTCAATATATCTGAAATGCGTAGGGAGACACTGGTCAGAGAAATAGTAAGCATCGAACTTAACCTAAAGGAATCTTATAGGAGTCAGGAATCGTGGGAAGAACTAAAAGCCATCAATGAAATCGAAAGAAACCCAAAGTATTTCTTCTCCTATGCCAAATCAAAGTCGAGAACAACATCCAGTATTGGGCCCCTACTTAAACAAGATGGGTCCCACACAGATGACAGCAAGGAAATGAGTGAGCTACTCAAGTCCCAATATGACTCAGTTTTTAGCAAGCCGCTAACCAGACTGAGAGTCGAAGATCAAAATGAATTTTTTATGAGAGAGCCACAAAATTTGGTTAACACAAGCCTATCTGATGTTATCCTGACGCCAAATGACTTCGAACAGGCGATAAATGACATGCCCATGCACTCTGCCCCAGGGCCAGACTCATGGAACTCCGTGTTCATCAAGAACTGCAAGAAGCCCCTATCACGAGCCTTTTCCATCCTATGGAGGGGGAGCATGGACACGGGGTCGTCCCACAGTTACTAAAAACAACAGACATAGCCCCACTCCACAAAGGGGCCAGTAAAGCAACAGCAAAGAACAACAGACTGATAGCACTAACATCCCATATCATAAAAATCTTTGAAAGGGTCCTAAGAAGCAAGATCACCACCCATCTAGAAACCCATCAGTTACACAACCCAGGGCAACATGGGTTTAGAACAGTCGCTCCTGTCTGTCTCAACTATTGGATCACTACGACAAGGTCCTAAATGCACTAGAAGACAAAAAGAATGCAGATGTAATATATACAGACTTTGCAAAAACCTTCGACAAGTGTGACCATGGCGTAATAGCGCACAAAATGCATGCTAAAGGAATAACAGGAAAAGTCGGTCGATGGATCTATAATTTCCTCACTAACAGAACACAGAGAGTAGTCGTCAACAGAGTAAAGTCCGAGCAGCTACGGTGAAAAGCTCTGTTCCACAAGGCACAGTACTCGCTCCCATCTTGTTCCTCATCCTCATATCCGACATAGACAAGGATGTCAGCCACAGCACCGTGTCTTCCTTTGCAGATGACACCGAACTGCATGACAGTGTCTTCCATTGCAGACACTGCAAGGCTCCAGGCGGACATCAACCAAATCTTTCAGTGGGCTGCAGAAAACAATATGAAGTTCAACGATGAGAAATTTCAATTACTCAGATATGGTAAACACGAGGAAATTAAATCTTCATCAGAGTACAAAACAAATTCTGGCCACAAAATAGAGCGAAACACCAACATCAAAGACCTGGGAGTGATCATGTCGGAGGATCTCACCTTCAAGGACCATAACATTGTATCAATCGCATCTGCTAGAAAATGACAGGATGGATAATGAGAACCTTCAAAACTAGGGAGGCCAAGCCCATGAGGGACACTCTTCAGGTCACTTGTTCTATCTAGGCTGGAATATTGCTGCACACTAACAGCACCTTTCAAGGCAGGTGAAATTGCTGACCTAGAAAATGTACAGAGAACCTTCACGGCACGCATAATGGAGATAAAACACCTCAATTACTGGGAGCACTTGAGGTTTTCCCAAACCTGTATTCCCTGGAATGCAGGCGGGAGAGATACATGATTATATACACCTGGAAAATCCTAGAGGGACTAGTACCGAACTTGCACACGAAAATCACTCACTACGAAAGTAAAAGACTTGGCAGACGATGCAACAATCCCCCCAATGAAAAGCAGGGTGTCACTAAGCACGTTAAGAGACCATACAATAAGTGTCAGGGGCCCGAGACTGTTCAACTGCCTCCCAGCATACATAAGGGGGATTACCAACAGACCCCTGGCAGTCTTCAAGCTGGCACTGGACAAGCACCTAAAGTCGGTTCCTGACCAGCCGGGCTGTGGCTCGTACGTTGGTTTGGGTGCAGCCAGCAGCAACAGCCTGGTTGATGAGGCTCTGATCCACCAGGAGGCCTGGTCACAGACCGGGCCGCGGGGGCGTTGACCCCCGGAACTCTCTCAAGGTAAACTCCAGGTAATATGGGTGTGAAGCATGGGTGATGAATGTTGCAGCGAGGAAAAGGCTGGAGACAGTGGAGATGTCATGTCTGAGGGCAATGTGTGGTGTGAATATAATGCAGAGAATTCGTAGTTTGGAAGTTAGGAGGAGGTGCGGGATTACCAAAACTGTTGTCCAGAGGGCTGAGGAAGGGTTGTTGAGGTGGTTCGGAAATGTAGAGAGAATGGAGTGAAACAAAATGACTTCAAGAGTGTATCAGTCTGTAGTGGAAGGAAGGCGGGGTAGGGGTCGGCCTAGGAAAGGTTGGAGGGAGGGGGTAAAGGAGGTTTTGTGTGCGAGGGGCTTGGACTTCCAGCGGGCATGCGGAGCATGTTTGATAGGAGTGAATGGAGACAAATGGTTTTTAATGCTTGACGTGCTGTTGGAGTGTGAGCAAAGTAACATTTATGAAGGGATTCAGGGAAACCAGCAGGCCGGACTTGAGTCCTGGAGATGGGAAGTACAGTGCCTGCACTCTGAAGGAGGGGTGTTAATGTTGCAGTTTAAAAACTGTAGTGTAAAGCACCCTTCTGGCAAGACAGTGATGGAGTGAATGATGGTGAAAGTTTTTCTTTTTCGAGCCACCCTGCCTTGGTGGGAATCGGCCAGTGTTAATAATAATAAAATAATAAATACAAAATGGGAAATGACACAGTTACTTTTGCTGATGATACTGTGCTTATGGGTGATTCTAAAGAAAAATTGCAGAGGTTAGTGGATGAATTTGGGAGTGTGTGTAAGGGTAGAAAGTTGAAAGCGAACATAGAAAAGAGTAAGGTGATGAGGGTATCAAATGATTTAGATAAAGAAAAATTGGGTATCAAATTGGAGAGGAGGAGTATGGAAGAAGTGAATGTTTTCAGATATTTGAAAGTTGACATATCAGCAGATGGATTTATGAAGGATGAGGTTAATCATAGAATTGATGAGGGAAAAAGGTGAGTGGTGCATTGAGGCATATGTGGAGACAAAGAATATGGAGGCAAAGAAGGGAGTGTATGAAAGTATAGTCGTACCAACACTCTTATATGGGTGTGAAGCTTGGGTTGTAAATGCTGCAGCGAAGAGGCAGTTGGAGGCAGTGGAGATGTCCTGTCTAAGGGGAATGTGTGGTGTAAATATTATGTAGAAAATTCGGAGTGTGGAAATCAGGAGAAGGTGTGGAGTTAATAAAAGTATTAGTCAGAGGGCTGAAGAGGGGTTGTTGAGGTGGTTTGGTCATTTAGAAAGAATGGATCAAAGTAGAATGACATGGAGAGCGTATAAATCTGTATGGGAAGGAAGGCGGGGTATGGGTCGTCCTCGAAAGGGTTGGAGGGAGGGGGTAAAGGAGGTTGTGTGGGCGAGGGGCTTGGACTTCCAGCAAGCATACGTGAGTGTGCTAGATAGGAGTGGAGACGAATGGTATTTGGAGCCTGACGAGCTGTTGGAGTGTGAGCAGGGTAATATTTAGTGAAGGGATTCAAGGAAACTGGTTATTTTATATAACTAGACTTGAGTCCTGGAAATGGGAAGTACAATGCCTGCACTCTAAAGGAAGGGTTTGGGATATTGGCAGTTTGGAGGGATATATTGTGTATTTTTATACATATATACTTCTAAACTGTTGTGTTCTGAGCACCTCTGCAAAAACAGTGATAATGTATGAGTGTGGTGAAAGTGTTGAATGATGATGAAAGTATTTTCTTTTTGGGAATTTTCTTTCTTTTTGGGTCACCCTGCCTCGGTGGGAGACGGCCGACTTGTTGAAAAAAAAAAAAAAAAAATAATAATAATAATAATAATAATAATAATAATAATAATAATAATGCACAACACATACATAAAAATAATTCAGATTGCTTCTGCTAGTTGACACAGCTGGTAAGCAGTAAACATGTTTACATCGCTGTGGGAGTAGTTTTCTCATGCTTGTTTGCATTTTTTACAGTCATTTGGCCAAATTTCTTTTTTCTAACCATGGTTCCTAAGAAAATAAGTGCAAAGGACAGTGCTGAGAACAAAAGGATAGTGATTTCCATCAACATCCCCCACCCTCAGCATCCCCCACCCACACTTTACATAAACGGTTTTTATACGATATTTCTTATTTATTCTCCATACAGTGTTTCAGTGTTTTCCTTAGAAAACTAGTGATCTACTACAGTTAGCCTCAAAAATACTCTGCTTTCTCTTACAGTAAGAACATGGGAAGATATAGTCAAGTTGAGACAGAAATGGCAGATGCTTCTGCTGCTGCCTCTGCCACCACATTATGGCCTATTTTATTCATTCTAGAGTATATATCATGCTTCTGTGGTAATTATATTGTTTATTATGTCAAATTAGATAAATTGTGATAGATAAATAAGCCGTACAGTTGATAATAGCGTCATATTCATGTATTTTTTCTCTGGCCAGAGTGCAGGAATGGATTAATGGCTTTTCAATTAATTTAAATGAGGAAAATTAATTTGATATATGAGTAAATTGAGTTACGAGCTAGCTCCTGGAACAGATTAAACTCGTAAGTCAAGGTTCCACTGTATATGAATAAATATTTACTTTTGTAACAATAAAGATAATTTTGAAAATGCTATTATCTTTTTTTTTCACTTGTTTGTTCATTACACAAATAAAAATCACTGCCTTGGCCTGGACCAAAAAACCCTGATAAATAAAAACAATACTTCAAAAACTTCAACTTTACAGTAACTTAAAGCTTTAAAAAATGCTGGTGCTTTCTCCTTATAGCAATATTTCAAAATACGTAACCAACTGCAACTTACTAGCTTGAGGATCTCGACCAGCAGAGGCCGATCTTGGTCGTTTGTCTTGCTTAGAGCCACGACGTGGAATCATCTCTGCCACTCTCCTTACTTCTCGATGTCGTACAACTGCTAAAACAGTATTTAATCATAGCATAAATGTTTATTAATCTATAACATAAAATTTATTCCACTCCTCTTTTTTTTATATATATAAAATTTTTTAACACCATGCATCTCCCACCAAGTCAGAGAGACTGAAAAGAGAAGAAATATTTTCACTGTCATACATTCAATCATTGTCTTGCCAGAATCATGCTGACATCACAGCTTAGATAACCTTGCAAACTGCAACCTCTCCACCCCCTCCTTTAGAGTGCAGGCACTGTATTTCCCGCCTCCAAGATTCAATTATGGATAACTATTTTATCTTATCTTAGTATGCCATGTCTTGTATTGCATTAAAACCAATAGATATTTCTTTAAATCTGCTCTTTTAAAAATGAAATATACTGCAAGGATTGACTGACATAAAAATTTCAGTATGGATTCTAGGTACAGTAGAACCTCAAATATAGAACTTTCTTCGGTCCAAAAGGCTGTTCAAGTGTCGCTACCGAACGAATTTATTCCCATCAGGAATAATGTAAATTAGATTAGTCCATTTCAGACCCTCAAAAATACACTTATAAAAGCACTTACAAAAATACACTTACATAATTGGTTGAGTTGGGAGCAGTTCAATTTTTGAGGTTCCACTGTACAGTAATGTGGGCAAAACTTTGCAAATACCACATATATTTGCATATATTAACCTTTCAACAATAAAAATTCCAGTCAACATATTAATTCATAGAGTTGAAGGCTTAATAATAAATATTAAAAAAAAAGAAAATACTGTAAACACTGTACTTCAACTACCTCTCATGAGAGATTTCTTGATCCTGGTGAGGGGCTCTCAATCCAAGGAATTGGAAATGTCCTCCCCTTCCTTGAACTGAACCTGACTGCTTCCTAGAGTTTACCTGGTGTCAGTTCTCTTTAAAAAAAATCAACATCTCAACATCACCATACATAAAATGTAGATAAAAATCCAAATGTACTCCTATTAACCCTTCTGGAGCCTAGTTCATAGGCCTTATGTGTATCCATACAGTATACAGTGGAACCTCTACTTGCGAGCGTGTCCACGTGCGAGTTTTTCCAAATACGAGCAGATGATGGGTCGATTTTTTTGCTTCCATACCAGCAAAATTTCCAAAACACAGACCTAAAGGGCGGGTTTCCTTGACAGGTGGGGGGCCCTTTTGCTTTTGTTTGGGAAATTTGTACTCTTTTTGTTTTTTGGGGCTATTTTATTGAAACGGGGCAATGTATATGGAAAGACTTCTTAACTACAAAAAAAATAAAAAAATTAAGCTAAAAAATGGGAGTTCACTCTCCCCAAATTTAGCCCCCCTTACTAATTTCAAATGGTTTTTTATGTCCTTGCTTGCTTTTCAAGTAAACAAAGATGCCCACCCCAAATTCCAATACCCATCGTGGGGGTTACATTATTTATACAATTTTTGCAGTAGGAAAAACATAAAGCTTATTTGTGTAAAAAAAATTACAATTATTTTATAATAAAAAAATAATAATGAAAGAAATTAACAAAAAATAAGGAGTTCATTTTCTCACCTTTTTGCCACCCCAAGGGGTAATTTTGAATGTTTTTTATGGTTGAATTTTCGTTTTTTGGTCCCCTTTATAGAATGGAAAAAAATTTTACAGAAATAGATAGATTTTGATTGTTTTCCCAGACGAAAATCCCTTTGAAATAGGCCAACCTGGGAGAAAGGTCCATTGCTTGGCTTTTCAATAAAAAAAAAACATCACTGTCCATTCCAATATGCAGTCTGAAGGTTACAATATTTATAAAATTAAGAAATAAGAAAAACAAAATCTTATATTTTTTGTTAATAAAAATTAAAAAATATTTTAAAATAAAAAAATGTTGTGATCTTTATAGTGTATGCTTCTAAACTGTTGTATTCTGAGCACCTTCAAAAACAGTGATAATGGGGAGTGGGGAAATTTGAATATAAAAAGTATTTTTTTTTTTTGGGGGTTTTTTTTCTTTTTTTTGGGCACCCCGCCCGGGGGAGACGGCCATTTTGAAAAAAAAAAAAAAAAAAAAATAAAAAAAATAATAAAAATAAAAAAATTTTTCTTCTTTTCCCTTTTTAGTAAATGCTACAGGAAAGGGGTTTCTACCCATTTTCTCCCGGGTTTTAGTCCCTCAAACGACACCAGGGGTACGGGAAAATTTCTTTCCCCTTCCCCCCTGGACAATAGAAGAAATAAAAAACAAAGCTATTTAAAAAAGGAGAAAACTAGATGTATTATATAAATAACTGGCCCCCCCTGATTATGAATGAAACCAATTTTTTTTAAGTGTATTGTAAAAAAGGGTTGACATGACGGGGGGGTAAATACAAAACTTACAATTTTCTAGGAACAATTCGGTGTCTGGCCCCCCTAACTACTTCTATGAAAAAAATTTCTTAAAACCGGGCCACTTTTCTGGCGCGTGAAATGTGAAAAGTTTAATGGGCCCCCCTGTTGCTACCCCTGTTTATAAAAAAAAGAAAAGTAATTAAATGAAAAATTAATTTTTGTTTAGCATCCAACGGGAATAATTTTTGGGGCCTACCAACCTATATAACCTTGAAAGGGGGTTAAGGGCAGTTTTAAAAAAACTTGTTGCCCCCCTTTCAAACTAAATGAGTAATATGGTGAAAGTTTTTCTTTTTCGGGCCACCCTGCCTTGCTGGGAATCGGCCAGTGTGATAAAAAAAAAAAAAAATGTATAATACGTATAATAATAATAGTATAATAATATAATACAATAATAATATGTATAATAATAATACATATATACATGTAATAATAACGTACTACACATAACAATTATAACAGACAGCTTCAAAAGGCCGTCACTAGACGGCAGTGTTTGCCACAACAAAGAGGGAGCAGTTGTGGCTGCCTCCACCTGTTACATAATGACATATTTTATTCATTCTAGAGTATATATCATGTTTTTATGTTATTTTTATTGTTTGTTATGTCATATTAGATGAACTGTGATATATATATAAGCCGTATAGATATTAGCGAAATTATTCATGAAGTATTTTGCCCGGTCTCCAGACAAACTCTCGTCCACTGCCGACACTGCCCATACCACTACATGAATGACATATTTTATTCATTCTAGAGTATGTATCATGTTTCTATGTTATTCATATTGTCTGTTATGTCATATTAGATGAACTGTGATATATAAATAGATGACATTAGCGAAATTATTCACGAAGTATTTTGCCTGGTCTCCAGACAAACTCTCGTCCACCGCCGCCACCGCCCATACCACTACATGAATGACATATGTATTTTATTCATTCTAGAGTATATATCATGTTTCTATGTTATTTATATTGTTTGTTATGTCATATTAGATGAACTGTGATAGATAAATAAGCCGTATAGATGATATTAGCTAAATTATTCATGAAGTATTTTGCCTGGTCTCCAGACAAACTCTCATCCACCGCTTACACCGCCCGTACCACCACATGAATGACATATTTTATTCATTTTAGATTATATATCAGGTTTGTATATTATTTATATTGTTTATTATATCATATTAGATGAAGTGAGATAGATAAATAAGCCATAGAGTTGATATTAGCAAAATTATTGAAGTACAGAATTCCACTGGAACGGATTAATTGCATTTCAGTTAATTTAACCCTTTGAGGGTCCGTCCCGTAGATCTATCGGCTTTACGTTCAGGGTCCAAACCGTAGATCTACGTCATGAGCTCAGCTCACTCTGATAAACTGTGAGTGGTACATTTGGGCCTAGATATGAGAGAATACATCTATGTGGTATGTATGCACCACATAAAACAGATCCTGCAGCACGCTGTGTATAATGAGAGAAAAAAACTGAAATCATGATTTTTCGATTAAAACAGCGACTTTGCAGTGTTTTTTCGTATGTTTTTTATAGTTCTATTTGCAATTTCTTGGTCTCATTTGATAGAATTGAAGACATTACAGAAATAGAGATGATTTTGATTGGTTTTCGCACTGGAAATGGCTTGAAACTGAGCTCAAAGTAGCAGAATGTTAAATTTTTTGCCGATATTCAAGAGTAAACAAACGACCTCACATGTCTAATACACGCCAGCTGGTGGGTCTAATATGCATTCACAAATATGGTGATGATATTTATACAATTATTACAGTATTGCATAACAGTAAATCTTCTATTTTTGTGTAAATAAAAATTCATTATGTGAAAAAAAAAATCAAAATGGAATTTTTTTGTAAACCCCCTCAAAACGTAATAAGAACAGAGAAAGTTATTAGTTCCAGGAATACCTACATTGTTTTTTCGTACCCTTTTTTTAAAATTGGGAATATTTTGAACTTTTGTTAAAGGCCCAAAAATTAACAATTTCCATAAATTTAAATTTTGGTAGTTAAACAGGTGACTTGGGATTTCTTGTCCAAATTGATAGAATAGAAGAAATACTAGTGAAAAACTAAAATTTGGTTGACTAAAATAATGAAATTTGGGCCTAAAAGGGGAGTCAAATCGAAAAAATCGCCGTTCAAATTCGCTGACACTAAAAATTTTGCGAGAGCATAATTTCGTCATTTTCCCCATCAAATTTCGTACTTTTTTTTTTTATTAAACCTTCACAAAAAGATTCTCTACCATTTCATAAGAAAAATAACAAATTTTTTTTTTTTTAAAAATTTTTGGGCACGGGGGACCACTTCAGATTTGGGCCTTGGCCCCCGAAAGGGGGGAAATAGGGAAAAATTTCCTGCAAATGAGCAAATCCAGTTTTCAACAAGGTCACGGAACGGATTAAACTCGCAAGTAAGGTTCCACTGTACTTTTTGCACCATCATCCACAGATGGGCTGGGTGCCCAAAAACTAGCCACTTCTGCACAAAAAATTTTACCCCCTTTAGGGTCCAAGGCCCCCAAAAATTTAAGTGGTGCCCAGTGCCAAGAAATTTTTAAAAAAAAATTTGTTATTTTTTCTTATAAATGGTAAGAATCTTTTTTTGGGAAGGGAATAAAAAAAAAAGTCAAATTTTATGGAAAATGACGAAATTAACTCTCGCAAAATTTTGATGTTCAGCATATTTTCGATCGGGGATTTTCGCTTTGAAATCCCATTTTTTGCCCAAATTTCATTATTACAGTCGACCAAAACTTTCTATTTACTAGTATTACTTCATTCAATCGATTGAGCACAAGAAATCGCCAAGTCACTGTTTCAACACAAAATAAGGGTTGGAAAATTTGGAAATTTTGGGCCCAAATTTTACACAAAGTTCAAAAAATTTTCCCAAATTTTAAAAAAAAGGGCCAGAATAACAATGTAGGTATTCCCCGGGACTAAACTAACATTTCCTCTGTTTTTTTACGTTTTTGAGGCTTAACAAATAAATTCCAATTTGATTTCTTATTCACATAATGATGTTTATTCAAAACCAAAAAATAGATTTACTGTTATGCAAAATTGTAATAATTGTATAAAATATCATCACCACATATGTAAAATGTATATTAGACCCCCACTTGTGTGAAATTATACGTGTGAGGTTCATTTGTTTACTTCTTGAACATCGGAAAAATTTTTAAAACATTTCCGCTACTTTGAGCTCTGTTTCAAGCCATTTCCAGTGCTAAAACCAATCAAAATCATCTCTATTTCTGTAATATGTCTTCCATTCTATCAAATGAGACCAAGAAATCGCAAATACAACTATAAAAAACATACGAAAAAACACTGCAAAGTCACTGTTTTAATCGAAAATCATGGTCTCAGTTTTTTTTCTCTCATTATACACAATGTGCTGCAGGATTTGTTTTATGTGGTGCACACATACCACATAGATGTATTCTCTCATATCTAGGCCCAAATGTACCACTCACAGTTTATCAGAGTGAGCTGAGCTCATGACGTAGATCTACGGTTTGGACCCTGAAAGGGTTAAAAATCTAAATCCATATATAAATTTTATTGAAGTAAATCCTGCTTCCTTAAGTAGTGAAGTCAACTTACTAGAGTCAGTGTGTGGCGGGTCTTGAAGTGGTAAGGAGTAAGCAACAAGGTTGCGAGCTTCCCTCCCTTCCTCCTGCAGGCGAGCTTTGACACGCTCCACAACCTCATCCTGAGAAAAAAACCTTATTAAACATTTCCAGAAAGATCACATTATACATGTTAACAATTCTGCATTTTTTTTAAAAACTTAAAAATATTAATTGGTGAAATCAGAAAGTCTTCAAGACCCCCCCCCCCCCCCTTCAGCTCTGAGTGCAGTATCAAAATATGTAAATCTACAAAACTTGATACTGTATTAAATACACAATTATGCACAGTGAGAAAGAAAAGATTCTGTATTCAAACTGGAAACATATATCTAGATAACAGAATACTATTACAAAAATTTTGACAAACACCAAATGATACCAGTAATAAATAGCCAGCTTACTTAAATAATATACATTCAATACTTCCCTGAAGACTGTGGATTATATACATACATAATTACTGTGAAAGTAAAAGTACTGTACACCTTTCTCATACCAATAATTACCTTTCTGGGTCCAACTCTCTCAAAATTTTCTCTACCTCTATATTGGCTTTCTGTCTTTTATTTTTATTTATTAACATGTCAGCTGTTTCCCACCAAGGCAGGGTGACCCAAAAAAGAAAAAACACTTTCATCATCATTCACTCCATCATTGTCTTGTCAGAGGCATGCCTACACTACAGTTAAAAAACTGCAACATATCAACACCCCTCCTCCATAGTGCAGGCACTGTACTTCCCACCTCTAGGACTCAAGTTTAGCTAACCGATTTCCCTGAATCTCTTCATAAATGTTACTTGGCTCACACTCCAACAGCACGTCAAGTCATAAAAACATTCATCTCCACTGGTTCCTATCTAACCTGCTCACACATGCAAGCAAGCATGCATGAGCACACAAAACCTCCTTTACCCCCTCCCTCCAACCTTTCCTAAGACAACTCCAACCCCACCTTTGTTCCACTAAAAAAAACAGTATGGCCTGCAAGTCATTTTATTTTGTTCCACTCTCTCTAAATGTCCAAACCACCTCAACCACCCTTCCTCTGCCCTCTGGATTATACTTCTAGAAACCTCACACCTCCTCCTAATCTCCAAGCTATGGATTCTTTGCATTAGATTCACACTACCCTTAAACATGACATCACTGCATCCAGCCTTCTCCTTTTGCAACATTCACCACCCATGCTTCAAACCCACATAAGAGCATTGGTACCTCTCTTCTCTCATATATTCTCCTCTTTGCTTCCATGGATAATGTTCTTTGTCTCCACACTTCCCCCAGTGCTCTAATCGCCTTTTTCCCCTCATCAATTCTATGATTCACCTCATCTTTCATAAACCCATCTGCTGACAAGTCCACTCTAAAATATCTGAATAAATTCACTTCCTCCATCCAATTTGATAGCCAGTCTTTCATTACCTAAATTTTTTATCCTCATCACTTTGCTCTTCCCTATGTTCACTTTTAATTTCCTTCTTTTACATACCATTTCAAACTTGCTCACCAACCTTTGCAACTTCTCTTCAGAATCTCCTTAAAGCACAGTGTCATCAGCAAAAATCAACTGTGACAATTCCCACTTTGTGTTAGATTCTTTATCTCTTAATCCCACACCACTTGCCAACAACTGAGCATTCACTTATCTTACAACCACCATCTATAAATATATTGAACAACCATGGTGACATCACACATCCCTGTGTAACGCTTACTTTTACTGGGAAATAATCTCCATCTCTCCTACATACTCTAACCTGAACTTAGCTATCCTCGTACAAACTCTTAACTGCTTTCATTAACCTACCACCTATTCCATACATTTGCAACATCTGCCACATTGCTCTGCTGTCCACCCTATAATATGCCTTTTCCAAATCCTTATATAAATGCAACAAAAAACCTCTTTACCAAAATACTACTGTTCACCTATATGCTTCAATGTAAACACTTGGTCTACACATCCCTTACCTTTCCTAAAGCCTACTTGTATATTATAACAACATATACAGTACAGTGGACCCCCGGTTAACGAACTTTTTTCATTCCAGAAGTACGTTCAGGTGCCAGTACTGACCGAATTTTTTCCCATAAGGAATATTGTGAAGTAGATTAGTCAATTTCAGACCCCCAAACATACACGTACAAACGCACTTACATAATTGGTCGCATTTGGAGGTGATCGTTATGCGGGGGTCCACTGTATTTATTTTTAGTTAAACAGCAAGGCAAACCTCAAGTCTTTCTACATATGTAATCTTGTTTCTCCAAGAAGACCACTTGTGCAATAGCCAACCTCCCATGTTACTACAGTACAGTGGTCCCTTGAGTCATGATGGGTTTCAGTTATGATAATTTTGAGTTACAATTTTTTTTAACACGTTGGCCTTCTCCCACCAAGGAAGGGTGACCCCAAAAACAAAATAAAAATAAAAAAGAAAGAAAAAACTTTCATCATCATTTAACACTTTCACCATCTCTCATACATAATCACTGTCTTTGCAGAGGCATCCAGATACAACAGTTCAGATGTTCCTCCAAACTGCCACTATCCCAAACCCCTCCTTTAAAGTGCAGGCATTGTACTTCCTATTTCCGTGACTCAAGTACAACTAACCGGTTTCCCTAAATCCCTTCATAAAATATTGCCCTGCTCACACTCCAATTTACCTTCTCAAATTAATTTAGTTTTGAGTTGCAATGAAAAAATTTAAATACAATATGAATACAATGGTCAGCAAACATGGATTCACCTCAGTCAACCAGCAATACAACTGCTTGCATCTTAGGCAGCATGAGTGCCCAAGATGCATATAGGTCAGTAAAAATAATAAGTGCATCTGTCTGGTGCTTAGCAAACGGAGGATCAAGCCTTACACTGAATGTCTTACACTGAATGACCCTCATGGGTTAGCACTGAAGTGAATTATTTTATTACCATTTCCAAGCAAAAGGAAATTATAAAGAATATTAAAGTGGCTGATGAATCTAAGTTAGTTATTGTGGGTAACACAGAAGCAGATGAAGGGAGATACAGTGCCTGCAAGTTTTATCTGTAAATGTGCAAGTCCAAAGTACAGTAAAAGTTGCACTTCCAAGGTCTTGGAACGAATTACCATGTAGTATTTTGGGGTTTCAGTTATGAAAGTTTTGAGATATGATACGTCTTCTGGAACGGAGTGATATCGGAACTCAAGGGACCACTATATCAGTATTAGGGATGGGATGATACCTAAGTTTCTGCCAATACCAATACTCAGTTTTAGGCCAACACTGATGCCATCAAAATTAGCTGACACCCAATGCTGATAACGATACTTTGGCACACCTCTAATCATTATACAATGTACATTCGACTGAAATGTGTCAGGAAGACTGTTTGAAGAGGCTCCCTCAATACTAAACCAGTTATAATTAAGACATTTTGGGTTTGAATGTTTATACAGAAGAAACTATTTCTGTGAATATCTTAAGTTACACATGTATTGAGGAAACATTTAAGATTTTGTTCAGCTCAATATAAATGACATTAAACTGTACTTTTGACTTTAGCCACTGTATACATCAGTTTTGAACATTCACACTTGCAGCAAATGTGGTCCCTGCAGGTCTGAAAATTTCTTGTATACTAGTGATATGGGGGATAACATAATATAATACCTTAGCCTTCTGTCATTGCTTTTAAACATAAAAAGCCATTTCCCTCATTCTGTCAAATAAGCATAATACCTGATAAAAAATAAATCTAAATATTTAATATCACTACATTCTAGACAACATTTTCTAAAAAAATATACCAAAGATTCCTTTATGCTCAGCCATGAGTGAGAGAAATAAAATCCTATTAAATGTTTTACACTTAAGCAGGATTCCTGGACTTTGCTTTATCATTAACATTTAAATAACAGGTAAATTTTACCAACCTCTACTCAAATTTAATACAGATTTTACTTTCCTGCATTTTTCTTGTTTTTCTTTTTTTGTTTTTTATTAAACAAAATTGGATATACACCTACCATCCGACTTACGGCCCGCTCGACTTACGACCACTCGACTTACGACCGTGTTTTTTATGCCAAATTTCTGGGAAATAAACCACTATTTGTGTTGTACACAGTGTTTATCCTAAACCTTACGGTATGAAATACAGTACTAACAGCATAAAAAGTAAAGTAAAACATGAAATACCAAAATAAAACAATAAAATAAAGTCATTACAAAAATGTTTTGTTGATATTCAGTAGTAAAGTTCGACTTACGACCATTTCGACTTACGACAGGTTTCTCGGAACCGAACTCGGTCGTAAGTCGGATGGTAGGTGTATTAGCAGTGCTTTTCCTTGGTAATTCTTATTACTGCACTATTTCATTTCCATTAACAGTTGTATTGTACAGCCTCTCCTCACTTAGCGATGTACTTGTTTACCGACGCCTCGGATTTACGATGGGCTCTCTGACCAGTATGCATGCCTAAATAACGTATAAAGAGATGATTTTCTCTATTCCGTTTTTAAAATATACAGTGGAACCTCTACTTGCGAGTTTAATCCATTCCATGACCTTGCTTGCAACTGGATTTGCTCGTTTGCAGAGTCAATTTCCCTCATTTAAATTAATTGAAATGCACTTAATCCGTTCCAGTGGAATTCTGTACTTCAATAATTTCGCTAATATCAACTCTACGGCTTATTTATCTATCTCACTTTATTTAATATGACATAATAAACAATATAAATAACATAGAAACCTGATATATACTCTAAAATGACTAAAATATGTCATTCATGTAGTGGTATGGGTGGTGTCCGCAGTGGACGAGTTTGTCTGGAGACCGGGCAAAATACTTCGTGAATAATTTTGCAAATATCATCTATACAGCTTATTTATCTATCACAGTTCATCTAATATAACATAAACAATATAAATAACATAGAAACATGATATATACTCTAGAATGAATATGTCATTCATATAGTGGTACGGGCGGAGTCGGCAGTGAACAAGAGTTTGTTATACAGTGGAACCTCTACTTGCGAGCGTGTCCACATGCGAGTTTTTCCAAATGCAAGCAGTCGATG